GTAAACGAGCTGGCGGAATGGACATGCTCGGAGAACTCTGAATCTGACTCCTCAGACGAGTCTGACTGGGGCTCGAAGTTTTCATGTGCTGCGCATGAGTACACTTGATTAAAGAAGCACGTAAAGCAATGACGGAAATGATTTAACGGAGGTGGAGAATACTCCATTAGACTTAGTTGTGTTTACTATGAAAAGGTTCAGATGCGCTGATACTAATAATTGTTGATGAATCATGAAGCCAAAATAAGACTGGATAATATGTATGGTTTGATTTATATATATATACATATTGTAAGTCATACGCTAAACGATTTTTGGTTCCAACATTTATTTTCTTAATTCCTTATCTCATTGATGTGTCACACCGACCACCCAGCATCCGAAGTAAAGAGTTACACTCTGACTCACATTCCAATGGCTACGGAAACCTCTGTGAGCAAAAGGACTTTCCATTTCCATGGAATGTGAGTCAGAGGGTACATCACTGCGGCTTTCATCCACCTCCACCAGGCAGACGGTCTTGCCGCCCCACCTCGCTGACTTGAAGGCCGGGGAGAAGCCACGAGACCCCTCTACAAGTAGAAGAATGTCAAGTGGGTCATGGTGGGTCATCCTGGTTCTCAGGTGTGACTTGTCCACTTTGGCACATGTGATCACCGAACGTGTGCAAAAGCAGTCCAACTTGGACATGGCCCATGTGATACTTCAGAGGATCTCTAGCGATTATATAATTGGGAGATCCAGTAGGCATATATCAAGTGTCTACAGTGCTCTTTTGTTTTAAACACTTGTCAATTGTTGAAACATCGCATGGATCAACAACGAAATTGTTCCACGTCGGACTCCACGTCGATCATCGCTTCAGTTGGCATGCCACGATCTGGTGGCCGCCGGCAGCAGCACTGTGTGCTCTGCGCCCATTTGGACGGGAGCTATGGGTCTGGAGCCCCAACAGGCACTGATATGTGATGGATCCCGATGGCGTTTGGGAAGGTCTTCTTGGGAAGACGTGATTTGTTTCCACTAAATTTTCAATGGGAAAGGATCTTAATGGTAAACCCATGTAATTAAACCCAACGAAAAAAATAAGCAATAACAACTACCAATGGTAGCTTGATCTGGAGACCCATTCGAGGGTATGATAGTAGATAGTCCTGTTTTACAGATAAAACACGTGAGAAGGTCCTACTTGCTTTGCAAGACATCCTGAACCTGGTAAGACATGAAGTCCTGGCCTGATTACTGTGGTTGCTTCTGTGTTTTGCCTGACCAAATGAAACCTATGTACCGTAAAGGGTCGCCCATTTTGAGTCAAGCCATCCAAAGGAACGGTTTGACTTCTGGACCACACGAACTACTCACCAAACCGGCAACAGCGAACTTGGGCGTCTGGTGGTGTGGCTAACATCGGTGTTGCCAAAGGAGGATGCTTGAAGTCTCGTTTGCGGGATGCCTGGGCAAGTGGGTATGATTGGGAATGGTTCACTATTTGCGGCAAGTCTGCAGTCTGCAGCCCCAGGCCCCAGGCCCTCCAGAGAGCCGCAGCTGTTGACCTATCGATGGCTCAGGATTGGAGAAGTGCTTTCCATATGGCCACGCCGAGACAAGCTGACGCGCCAGCCTGATTTTCACATGTCCATGGGTGAGCAAGTCATAGATATGTTCAATACAAGACTATGACTCATGACTCTGACTCAACATACTGGATAGGACCCCGGATCAAAGAACGAACTGAAGAATCATGAAGAATACTAATCCACAGATGACTCGGCCTACTAGAATTTGGAACCCCTGTAATTTTTTGGGTGGGTCGCCTCCTACAGAGGTAAGCGGAAGTCTGGGGATCTGTTCCTTTGAGCGATTTCGCCGGAGGAGCTTAAGATGTCCTAATTTTACCATCCACGCAAACGTGTTGTGCGTTTCTTCGCCAGATCTCACCCATGGCATCCCCTGGCTTCATTTCTAGGTTTGGAGAAAGATGTCCCAACCTGAGATGATCCCAGTATCCTCAAGTGCCCTTTGAGGAAGAACAGACAGAACGTTGAGTGTGGCCTTCCAACTGGATTGCAATGTGTCACAGAAAAGATCTTTGTTAGTTTTACGAAAGGCTCCATGTGCGTCTCTCCTTGCGGAGGGTATTCCTTGTCGAACTCGGATAGCTGCCCTTGGGGGTTTTGACCTCGATGACCAGATTGGCGCTCTTATAGCTGATTGTTTTCGTTCTCAAAGACCGGAGAATGAATCGAATTGCGTCGAGGGACTTCCAGATACTTCGTAGAGGGATCAGGATTGGAGGGCTGGGTCGGCCAGATGGCTGGGTCGACACTTGACCAACTGTATACCTGTTGGACCATTGGAATCAGGACCTACTCGTCGCCGGGTATGATTTCGACCATATATAGGCCTTGGTGTGGAGAACGAAGGATGGGAACCTTATACCTTCCCATCCTCCACCAGCTGCAACGCGAGTAACGGACCGCGGTCTGAATGGGGAATGGGGAAATATTTGGCGCATTCGTTGGGGGGATCATGCCCGTGGTTGTCAGGTTTGCACCACTTGGCCCAGTGGGATAAGCAGAAATCTGTTTGGGATTTTGTTGGTAAAATATTTGGTCATAAATATGTATAATATAGATAATACATTGAAAGTTGAATGGGATCAAATCCTCCTCCACTCAGTAGCAGATAGATAAGATTAGATGAAAGTAGAAGTAGTACCAGGCTCACAGTCCGTCCCACACCAATCAACTAGGGATTGTAGGGATTTACGGTTTAGGGGTTACACTACCATTCACGTGGAATTGCCGACACCTTGATCATTGTCACAACCGTAGATATTTTCTGAATTAAGGATGTTAAGGGCTTGTCCGAATTTTTCACACCATACATAATTCCATCGACCAAACGCTTAAACCGGTGTCGAAGCTTGAAATGCCCTTCCTTTCAGTCAACTGAGTCCTTCGGGGTCCAAAGGTTATCCGCAAGACCTAGCATGGCCCTCAGCATGGCCCTTTTTCGGTTTCAGAGTAGATCAATGCTGGGAGCTCCAAGATCAGTTGGCTAGACATGGACCAGAACGGATCAGGCAAATTTAACGCCCCACAACCCAAACAGTCACCCTTCTAATAGGATGTTGTGGCATGGGAACATCCACATGGCCCAGAAGTATGTGGTTTGTGAGCTACTTTTTGATACTCCAGGGCTCCAGGGACCTGATCACACACATATATATATATATAATACACATTGTTTGATGTTAATTTATGACTCACATGATGTGAAATGGGTCGGACACTCCCAGAGGTGAGAAATGGCACTGGCACCCCAAGATGGATGGCCTTTAGATGGGGGTCCACTACTAAACCACCAAACTTGGACATTTGTGCCATCTACTCTCAATCCACCCAGAACTTACAGGCGTTGAGAGCAGCCTGAACAGTTGTCTTCGTAGAGGCAAGCAAAATGCACGAAAGTCCACTCCAGCGAATGGTCCTATTCCTACCAATAAAACACCAACCTGAACTGTTTTTCTCCTTCATCCGTATGGATTCTTGGAGATCACATAAACTTAATGGATCGAATCAAGCTCTCTGTGAGTATTATGTGCTGTGTGTTTGTGAAAAAAGGCACAAAGCCTTTGTTGGAGCTTTGCCCTGGCTGCCTTTTCAGGGTCACTAGCAGTCCCCACTGGCTTTTTTGTGAGCCCCGAAAACGCGGGGGACTTCCAGTGGCGGGTCCTGACCCGTGTCAGAAGGGCGACCCCAAACCGTTCGGCTAGAAGATTCGGAAGTTGGCTGATCGAAACATCAATCATCAGTCTGGCCAGCTTTGAAGACGAAGACTGAGGTGCCATCGACAGAGGTGCCATGTGAAGGGCCACAACTTGTTCTTCGTTCGAAGTGATTGTTGTTGCTTTGGGAGGCGATAGTTCAAGGTGACTTCATACGCATCAATGCAATGAGTCTCTTCAAAATCCAAAATGATTTGCCAGGACATTCCAACAAGTGGTTTTTTTACACCCCTTAACCTCTAAGAGGCTATTTATAGATAGACTATATATAGACACCTCTTCGAAGGTCCTACTGTAGGTGGTCTCTTCTTCACTTCGTCACATTCACCATGTCTGACGTTACGGGGCGTATTTCGACGGTACGAACAGGCCCTTCTTTTTTCGTGTCGCCCGAATCTGTGCCTCCACTCCCGGTCACACTGGGCCGAGAAGAATGCTTCGCGAATCTGATCCGCTCGAAACGTTAGCGCAAGGTGAAATCGAAAAGGCGTTTTGGAAGGAACGGGTTATCTATGGATTTTGGGTGGCCAACACTCCCCGGAATGCGCGGAACATGGATGGCACCACCGGTTTGGTATCCGAGTTGGTCATCCAGGGAAGGAAGTAGTGTGTTTCTTCTCACGTGAGAAAAAATCATGATTCATGATTCATTCCAGGCACACCCCGGAAGAGACCTATATGGAACCTGAAATTGGACCTTTGGAAAACCCTTTTCCTCTACAACCCAGTGGTTTTCAGGTTCCATGTTACTCTTCCAGAGTGTACTAGTTTTCCATCCACGTGGCGCCCGTGATCATTCCGAGTGTCACCCGCCTGGGTGCGGGCGGTGGAACATGGGCAGAAGCGGGCTGTTCGGTGCTAGGGTGTGGTTAGGCGTTTTGGAGGGTGATTGATATCCTCAAAACTCAATGATGATATGTTTGATCTTCAAGCAACTGAGTCGTTTGGTCTAAGGGTCACTTCTTTAGACAGCCGGTGGCTGTCTAGATGTGGCGGGGCTGTATTGTCCCAGGTGATCGAATTTGGACGTCGCGGCCAGTTGCTTTCACCATGAGGGACACGATTGTTTCACCCCACATAGGCAGAAACCACTGCACTTGCAGCAGAACGTTTGGTGAAAAGCACTCGCATAAAGCATCAGAAAACCATGTATAAAAACCATGTAATTATGACATATAGAACAAAAAAAGAACGCGTGGCCCTTTCCTAGGCGCTCTCTCCAGGGCAGCTTTCTTTGATCGCTCGTGCCTGCGGCCGACTGGGACCGGTGCGGAACTCATGGTGGGTTCGGTGGAAGGGAAGTTCGCAGCAAGTTCGCTATGAATAGGCTCCTGTCCTGCGTCCTATGTGCGAAGACTTTGCCCGGGTCGCCATGCGGGGAACTGTCCAACATACACTGTCGACTTTTGATGAATGGGCCCCACCCCATATGCTTTACAATCCAAATGGGGGTGAAATTGTTTATCAAGAGTCTACAGTTATGCAGTTCAACCCATTGAAGAGTGCCCATTGATGAGTATGGGTGAAGTGATGCAGTTCAACTTCAGGGTGCCCTAGCTGGAAGAATCATGAGGGTTTGCCCAGGACATGCACTCGCTGGATGGGGCTCAAAAACTACCCAAACTTGATGTAACTCCTGGTTTTAGCAATTCGATACATGCTTTGACAAGTCTTCTTGGATGCAGAGTCCCTTAGACGTTGACGAAGGAAACCGCTTTTGTTTCCCCATGCTCTGGGCTTAAGAGGGTTCACACATGGCCGAACACGATGATACCTGAGTTCCCGTAGCTTCAGTTGATCTTCGAGTTGATGGTGTCTTCAACGAGGTCGACAGGGGTATGTCTCCATCAAAAGGAGGAGCTCCTGGCAGACACCAAATGAGGGCAATCAGTTTTAGAAATCCCACTTCCACCACTGCTGACCCTCCCTAGCATCCGAGATCATATGAGATCCCCCTCGGTTGAAACATTGCCCTTTAATGTTAAATGAAGAGATGAAACGGGCTGAAGCACACCAAGCAGGGCCCCCCCAAATGCCCCTATCCTGTCCATCCTGTCCGTTCGCCATTTGCCCTTCGTTCGCAGCCCACTGGTCTCCGTTCGAACTCTTGGTGGCAGGTGTTACCTGAAGACTCCCACGCACTCTTCGAGGCGATGTGGGACGAGAGAACGGGCAGTTCGTGCTCGTTCAGCTCTCAATCGCTCGAACGGCCGAAAAACCAGGCGCAAAAGGCGCTCGACCCCCAAAACAGTTCAAGAATAGAAGGCGTGGGCTTAAAGACTCGCTGCCTCGTTTGAAGCACATGTTAGTGCTGCGACTCCACCATGGCTGATTTCTGCTGTTCTATCCATTTGCAGATGCGCACGCGCAAAACATCAGAGGCTTGACTTTGCCGGTATCGTTTCCAACAAAGCGCCGTCCTCATGTCTCCTGCGATGCATTTGAAATTTAACGCATCTTCTGCTGTTTGCCATGTTGGCTTGATTCTCACCCTATTCTTTGCTGTGCGTTGCAGGCAGCAGACAGGCTTATCACTTGGAATCCTTGTGAGAGTGGCAGCACGCCCCTCACATCCCACGTCAGCTCAGAGTTGACAGCATGGGTGTCGTTGTCACAAGCTTGCTTGTGGATCCTATAGCATCCTATATCCTAGCATGTTCCTTCGCAACATGTTTGTTGTTCACATCATTGCATTTATACTGCAACTATTTTGTCATGAAATCGAACAGACATGTGACTGGAGACCACAGCATCGTCATCATCATCAACGACGCAAAAGAACACCGTATAATCAAAAATATCAGCACCAATAACAACACATTATTATCAACAGCCACTTGCGGCAGCATTATCGTTAAATCCCCAGCTTCACGTGCACGTCCTGTACGAAGGGGTCCTTCGATGCGTTCATCTAATACCACTTTCTGCACTAACAGCCAGCAATGGACATGAAGTTTCTACTGTCTTTCAGAAGTCAACGCCCGACTTTGTGAAACTGGTGTGGCTTCCGGATTTCTTCGGTTGGAGCCAATTAGCCGTTGACACTCTTCCGGCTAAAGTCGACGTGGAGAACTGGTCATCCACCTGGACGGTCGATCCCGTTTCTCATGGTCTTCCGAGTCGACCAGGGTTCATCGACTCCCAGGTGTCGACATCTGAAAACCGGAATCGCAGAGAGTCTACATGTCAGACAACCTTCGCAGGTCAACCGATGTTTCGATCGCGTGATTACGATCCATGTTGGATCGGTTGCCTTTGAGTGCACTCCGCAGTGGAGTTTGGTGCGCATCAGTTGTCTTCATCGATTGTGAGTAGTGAAACCTTGTGAAACCAATCCCGATGGACATAAAGTACATCCTACACCACGGCTGCAACATCGTTGGATGATTTGCTTCAGTGTCTTCTGATCCTGATATGGCAGATCAAAGATTTGCCATGCCAGATTGGTACAGTATGTTTGGAAATCAGCTTTGGTGTTATAGAACCTGGCATCCAAATGCCAAACTTACCAACCAGGTGAAAACAGACCTGGCAACGTAGGAAACAGTAGGAAACTGTGACGACTTCCACCTACTCCCCGGGTCACCCGGGGCCCGAACTTCCGCCTGTCGACAGAGGCATTGGTGGCCGCCCTGAAGCATCGCCAGGTGGGCGACGGCGGATTCAGGAAAATGCACCTGCCAGGGTCGATCCTGTCTGGGTGTCCAATAGACTACCCTACCTTATGCAAACAGGCCTCCAGACAGGGCACCCATTGGAAGATTTGGAAGTGCTAGGTGGAGATTTCTCTTCTAAGATGATTGAGTTTGTAGGCTGCGCATGGTTGCGCAGCTTGTCGTCGTTCAGAAAACGTTGTCTTGACATGCTGCTGATGTTTCTTGGCTGCTGAGTCATTGACATTGCACGACTTGTATTGTGTAGTTTCTGACGACAAGAAGATGAGAAACAATATGAGATTCTGATATATGACGGATATTTATACAGGCTGCAGGTGTTTCTTTACTCATCAGAAGTCTTTCTCAGATCCAATGTAGTTGTCCCACTAGCACTTCACAGTTTCTGGTTCTACTGGTTCCACTATGGGTCAACTGTTGAAACCGGTGGTTTTTGTTGGATGTTGTTTTCTCTCTTTAACGGAAGGGAGCCGTCGACCGGGCGAGCTCAGAGCTCCTTCGGCTCGGACAGGCTCGAGATCGAGAGCCAGTGGGGGCCTCAGGGCAGTTGGCGGTTGGCCTAGTTGGACCAAGATGAACATGTATGGTAAGTGGAATGTCAGTGGAAAATCAACCCCTCAAATACTGTTTGTTTCTACAAACAGGGCGGTGGGAACACCACTCAAACATACTCAAACCCAATGGCTAGGAGAGCACCGAACCGTTCCGAGATGTTTCAAGGTCTTGCAGGCTTGTCGCCCCTTAGCAGCCGACTTCCGACGCCTCTCGGACGCAGCCTCGGTCGAGAATCGAGGTTTGGAGCTCACAGGGCTCACCTGGTGAAAACGGGTGTCGCGTGAAATTCATCCTGCAAACATATATATGATTAAACAAATATATATATATACCAGTCAAACCTGAAAACCACGAAATGAAATCTTTTTGAAAAAAAGAAATCTTTTCCGGAAATAGTTTTCTTTCTCCGGGTTCTCCGGGTTAGTCCGGGTATTCCTTTCTTAGTCCGGTTTTTCTTTTCTTGGTCCGGTTTTTCTTTTCTTTTCACTGTTTTCTATTAGTAGGTGGTGTCTGACCCCCTACCGGATGTTGAAACACTCCCATGGCAACCCTGGCCCTCGTGCATGTTTTTCCACCAGGTTCACTGTGGTCAAGTCCGCCACAACCGCCATAGAGACGTCAAGTATACATCCAACATCCTGTGGATGGTTGACTTTGGTGAAACACGTCGGCTGTATCGGGCAAGTTGCCCCACAAAGCCCTCATCCATCTGGCAGTTGTCACACACCGGCGACTCCTGCCAGGTCAACTTCCTTGCATCCAGCTCCATGAAGGTGTGCACAAGCATGTGGAATTTCGAATGTAGAGGGAAGCGGGGCTCACCACGTTCAAGAGATTCTGTCGCCAATGCCCTGTAGCCTCTGCAGGCACACAGCCCATCAGCAGCAATGCCAGCGGCTTCATCATCTCGGAGCCAAGCGCCAGCGCCATGCAAGAGTTTATGCTTTTTGCCACAAGCAATATCAAGGCAAGGCGCCTGTCAAGCAGCACCAGCTCCGCGCGATCAGGCTGCATCAAAGCACTTTCAAGGAATTCCTCAGCAATTGAACTCGGGACGCACTTACCAACCAAAACCGCGGAACAAAGAACATGCATGGATACGAGATCAAAGAACAAGCGTCGCACAGCAAAGTTGTCGTTGAACCCTTCTGCCAACCTCCCTCAGGCCAATCCAAAAACGCTGTGTAGCCACAGATCTCCTTTGTCAGTTTGCTCAAAGGAGGCTTGACTTTCTTGAGGCGGCAGAAGGCTCTCCACGAACACGTCATGCCAGCAAAGCCATCGTGCACAGATTCTTCATTCCAAAGGCTGCGGACTATGATGAACGCTGAAGACAAGAAATACCGGCCGTGGCCGAGATGCCAATTATGCCAGATGTCGGGGCGGTACAGTTTCTCTGGTGAGCCATGTGGAGCCGGGAGCAAGGCAGTAAAAGGCTGCAGAGAATCCCATGGTGCAGAAGCCGCCGCGCTGCCTTCTGTGCGGGCCCAGCGCGGGTTTGCCCCACAGTCACTGAAAGGATAGTTTTTTTGCCCAGCCAGGCACCAATGGCAAATCCCATGTCCCTCAGTATGTCCAGCTTTTGGGGCACGCCTGAAATGACGATTGAGATCGGCGGCAGCTATCAAAAATGGCCAATCTCCTTTGACGGAAGTGCATGCCAAGCGCAGCTTGCGGCCACCTGGTAGGTCAATGCCTTGTGTAAGGGCCCGACGCAGGTCTTCCGCAATGATTTTCATGGCATCGGGGAGGACCGCGTCATCCTCTTCATAAGTCTCCTTGAGGGCAGCCAGGCACAGGAACCTTGTCATTTCTGGGTTTCCCAGCATGTTGAGCTTCATGCTCTCTCCTTGCACCCGCTTGCTCCGCAATACTGACTTGCTTGTGCCAGCACCCAAGATAGGCTGAAAGTTCAGCAGCATGATGGGCATCTTCTTCTTGCCTGGTCTCCGCAAAATCGAGCCACAAAACACAGGTCCAAGCACAGAAATCATGCGTTAATATCACACTTGCAGTTGCCAAGAGGCTCCGCCCTTCATCGCCATGGATTTTGATTGGAACGCAGCTCGAGAGGTGCTCCGGAGGGACATGGGAGAACACGTCATGGTCAGCGAGCGCCAAATTGGAGCTTGAAGCGCCTCCAATACTCTTCTAAAACACACGCGCTGGAGTCCAGAGTTGTGTCCGGGAGGAGTAAGGCCAGCCGGTTCCTCTGGGTCAAAGCCAAAACGAAGTCACTTGGCAGAATCATTGGGTGTTCTCTGGCTTGGCCCAAGCTCACATATGAAATTTTCATCGACACTTTCAACGCAGCATCTTTCAAGGCGGCAAAGACGTCTCTCGCCTGGGATTCACCATCCAAGTAACCAAGTATTAAGTCACACAGGCGCCCATGTTCGCATTTGTAACCAAGGGGCAGAATGTGCAGCTCCAGCCCGAGCCAAGCGCTGCAAGGTGCGGTCCTTCCACGCAAAGCCGTTGGCTGCATCATCATCTAAGATAGCTTGGGCGTGCTCTGCAACTTGCACTGCCGGTGCCTTGGGCGATGTGCGAAGCAATACTGCTGCCCTTTGACAAAAATTGACAAGTATACAGGGCGGTTGGATCACTGCGTGCAAGTTTCTCCACGGGCGAGGCTGCGAGCCAAATTTTGCACCGTAGCACTAGGGATCACTTCAGCGCGCTCCCGCCGCAGGCGCTTTTTGCAAGGTTGTTCGCCCAGCAAACCTGGCCAGGTGAAGGTCTGGTTACTGATGCCTGCCTTCCATTGCCAAAGTAAGGAATATATATGGGAGGTAGATGTGCGTTATATGTCACACCGTCTTTTTCTTTCGGAACGTTTCTGTGCATCCTCAAGACCCCAGATGCAAGGTTCTGGTCACAGGGCTGAGACTGTCAGCGTCCAATTGCTACAAGCTGCATGTGGCTCGGTTTGCAAAGGGGTTTTTAATTTATGCTGCAGTCTTCTACGGCCCGTGTTGCACCCAACGATTGGAGCACACGCCCGCTGCTTCAGCAGGAAGACGCAAAAAGCAATCGTAGCAAAACCCTCGTCTCAGGCTCTCAGGCGGCTGCTTTAGCCTTTGCTTTGCTCTTCACCTTTGCCTTTGCCTTCGGGGCTCCCTTCTGTGCACCTTGGGCGTCGTCAAGGGCTTCATCACCGGGAGGATCCGCGTCGGCCTTGCGCTTGTTGCTCTTCACTTCTGCCGCCAGCAACCTATACACATGTTCCTTCGCCATGATTGCCACGCACCTGAGTCAAAATGCGACATAGCGAGCAAAAAAAAGTCGGGAAACCGGACACGGAAAAGGCTGCCAGCGGGCAAGCGGAAAAGGCTGCGGAACAAGCTGCGGAAAAGGCTAACAGCGGGCAAGCGGAAAAGGCTGCGGAACAAGCTGCAGAAAAGGCTGCCAGCGGGCAAGCGGAAAAGGCTGCGGAACAAGCTGCGGAAAAGGCTGCGGAACAAGCTCGGAACGTCAATATCGACGTGATTATGCGGAACAAGCTGCGCGGATCTGCGGCTCACGTGTCTTTTGGAAAAAAACAGCTACGGGCATGAACCAACATCTGCGGAAAAGGCTGCCGCAAGAAGCGGACGGAAAAGGATTTGAACGTGAAAGCTTTGAAAGGGTTGCACGGTGATCACCCGCATCATTAAAAGACCAAGGCACGGTTTCCGGGCTTTCTCTTTGGCGGCCTGAAATTTGGTGATGAACCTGCAAGACGAGCTGTTACACTTAAACTGTGCTTTTGCTCATGCACCAATGTTTCAAGAATGGGCCAGGCCACTTGCTCTTGTCATCGCTCACATTCTCCACCTCCAAGAAGTGTGCGCACTCTGCCAGGTCCCCAAAGCACCCTTCCAAGGTGTCGACGAGTGTCTGGCACTCTTGCACAAACCTTGAGCAATCATATGGCAGCGTGCGTGTGAAACAAAGTGAAAGACATGGTCACAACTAGGCTGCGAGCTTCTTCGCCCGATCCAAAGGTGAGGTATTCAGGTTCAGGATCCACGCGGTCACCTGGGCAGCCTTCTGGTGCAGGGATTCTGTGAACTTGTCCAGCTGCCGCTTCAAGTCTCCGACAGAGTTGACAGGTTGGGATCCAGGAGCCGTCTCCTTGGGCAGCTCCACCAACGCCCCACGCTCGAGCTCAGGCATACCCTGCACAACAGAATTACAAGGACTGAATGACTGCAAGCAGATTTACATGTCTTCAACAGTTGTTCGCGGCGCGCTGTGTGATGTATCAACGCCTCAGAGTCCCCCATGCCCACTTCTTTGTAGCCTTCCAGCTGCGACTTCTTGACTTTCACAGTGTCTGCAGTCTGGACAAAAAACTCTTCAATGCTCTCGTCATAGCGAAACTTCCTGCGGCCATGCACTGAATTGACTCTATAGATCTGATTTACCTAGTTTTCATTTCTGGCCTCACCAGCACACTCTTGAAGCGGTAGCAATAGTTTTTCACCTTCTGGATCAAAGACCTTAGGGCACAGTCCCGAGCCATTCAACCAGTGCCGCTGCCGCTTACAAGAGTTAACTTCAAGCTTAGCCACTTGGAGTAGCCCAGGTCGCGCTCCATGCGTTCTTCCGTGTACCAGCCACCTTCCAATTCTTCGTCCTTCTGAGTCTTCATCTCCTTGAGCTTGAACATTTGGGTGCAAAACTCCCCCTGCACCAGGCTGAGACAAGACAGCATCAATGCTTAAAGAAGACAAAAAACACGTGCACATCTTTTCACAACCCCGGCCCGAACCAACTTGCGAGTGGCACCGTCATCCTTATAGCCGTGCGTTTTCAACGCTTTCACCAAAGCGAGCTGCAGCTCTTCACGGTTGCCCTGCTGCCACTGGTCAAAGACCTCTTTAGGCACATTCATCTTCCCTGCCCCGGTTGGTGTGCAAAGACGCTTCAAGCGCATGTAGAGAGCATGGTCGCTGAGCTCCTGCAACAAAAGTATTTGACGTACGCGCCATGATCCGATGATTTTTGACGATTTTTGGCGATACATGCACATGCATGTCTCCTTGCGGTCCAGATCGAAAGCCTCATGAAGGGTCTCTTCCAGGTCCTTGTTCAAAGCCTTTGCTGGAGGATCCGCGCTGCGCGATTCCGACTTGCGCTGGGCGGGCTCCGGCGTGAACACAGGGTTCTGCACTGCTGGTGACATGGCTGCAGTTGAAGGGTCTGGCACTGAAGGCG